TCGAAACATGTGAGAGTCCATTGGATCTAAGAAGGAAATTTCTGAGCGATAAATTTGTATTGTTATCCCGATCAAAACATTACACAGTAATCAATAAATTAAGCAGATTAACTACTCTATGCTTAACTTCATCCTTTTGGAAAAAGAAAAAACTGCCATTATTAGTTGACAGTTTTATTTCTACTTCAGATGTCAGTAATGATCTACCAGTTTCAAATGGCGTACCGCTGTGGTCCAATCCATATCTGTCTCTTATTATGCCAGTTAATAGTTATATTAATAATAAATTCGACGTTGACAACCCTTTACTAATAAAGACAAATTTTTATGAAGAATTAAATACAAAATGGAAACATTATGAAACACTTTACACCGATGGTTCTAAATTAAATAATCAAGTAGGTTACGCTTTATATTATCCCAATAAAGAGATTCAAATTTTAAAACGTTTGCCAAATTGTATGTCAGTTTATAGTGCAGAAATATTAGCAATTAGAGAAGCCTTTTCGTTATGCCTAAATCAAGAGGAATTAAATTTTGTCATTTTCACAGACTGCAAAAGTTTAGTTCAAAAGTTTCAAAATTTTAATTTCACTTCTAAAGTTAATTACATAATTCTGGACATTTTAAAACTAAATTTTGAGGCAAGAAATCAGGATAAACTAATATACATATCTTGGGTCAAAGCCCATATGGGAATACCTAATAATGAAAAAGTAGACTTTTTGGCTAAAACTGCAACAAAACTTAATTACATAAGTAATTTTAAAATACCCCTATCCGATCTAAATACTTGTTTCAAATATAAAAGGGATCAAAATTGGCAAGAAAAATATGTAGAGAAGGAGACAGGTAATTTTTATAAATCTATTCAACCTAATATAAGGGTAAAACCGTGGTTTGATAAGCTGTCAAATAGACCACTAATCCAAACGATTAGCAGAATTAGAACTAATCATGCTTTATACCCTCAATATATGAAGCGAATAGGTCTAATAGATAATGATTTGTGTATTTGTGATGAGATTGCTGATTTACAACATATATTTTTGGATTGTATTCTAAACGATTTAGAAATTAATTTATTATACCAAAACTTAATTAACAACAAAATTCAATTACCTATAAATTTAAAAAATCTACTGACATTTGACAGTATATATAACATACTCTATAATTTTGTTAAAACACTCAAATTAAAATTGTAATTAGGAAATAGAAATAAAACATGTAAGTAGCGATGCTACCAATAAAAAAAAATTTGTACACCTGACTCGAAAAAATTGTTAAAAGAAAAAAAAATAAAGAGAAAAAAAAAAATGAAAAAAAAAAAAAACAGAAATAAAAAAAAAACAAAAATAAAAAAAAAAAAACAAAAATAAAAAAAAAAACAAAAATAAAAAAAACAAAAATAAAAAAAACAAAAATAAAAAAAACAAAAATAAAAAAAAACATAAATAAACAAAACATCTAAACCTTATTAAGTTCAGGTTATTTTTAGTTATTAAGGTAGAGCAACTTTAATATAATTTGTAAAGTAATAAAGTTTGTTATATATTTTTATTTGTTCACCTGACAATTGACTGGCCTGTTGGTTTATATCCAGTGCCACTAACTTAGTTAAAAAAAAAAAAAAAAAAAAAAAATTCCTTATTTATCAAAACAGAAACATAAAACTAAATGCCTCTTCCTGTAAAATTTTATTGAAGTAGAAATATTCATTATGTAAGCACTTAAATTTCCATTAACCATTGGTAATTACCAGTTTCTAAAACACGACCATTAAAAAATAACAATTCTGCAATAAGAATATCCATTCAAATTACAGGGTTTGAATTAATAATGAGATTAATCACTTTTGCCAACTGGACATTAATTTTGTCGATTTCGGACATTATTCGGGGTAATCATTTAAATTTGTAAGTTTTGGAGTTAACTTTTAAATTAAATTTATCACCCATTGAAATTAATATTAATGCATAAATATTTAAGTCTAATTACCTTAATTGTTTAAGATAATATTTAATAATAAAAACAATGAACATGAAATACAGTTAACATATTTAACATCCAATTCTTTCGGAAAACACGCTAGTTTTACCCATTGGTTCCCAAGGTTATAAAATTAAACTAATTTGATGTTTTTACTGCATTTTATAACTAAACATACACTTATATAAATGTTTATAATATAAAAAAAATGTGTTCTTATTTTTTTTACAACAAAATGTTGCGTATACGCAACGTTGGGATTTACGGACATTTAAATTTAATTTTTATTATGAAATAGTTCAAAACAGTTTGTGTGAAGATGAACCTGACACTTGGCACACATGTATATAGTGTTGCTTTTGCATTGTCTGCATCTTCTTTTTGCTTTATTTTTCTCCTCTATTATCACGTGACCGACATTATCATGTCGAATTTCCATAGGCAACGCACTTTTAGATGGACGTCCATAATTTGTTCTTGGAGAAAAGTTTACTTGGTCACTTGGTCCCGCTATGTCTTCGCCTTGAATGCTAACTTCTATGCCTGGTTCATCCCTTTTCATAAGAGTGACTGCAATGTAGGACTTTAAAGATAACTGTGACATTTTTGATTTGTTTGCTAAATTGTATATTTTCCAAGAATTGACTATAACACTGTCAATCAAATTTACAAAAAGGGGCCACCACCATTTTTTCCCTTTTACATTGATTCGGTAATTACATATTCCATTGTGATGCAAATCAACACCTCCCATGTGTTGATTATACTCGGCTATAACTTTCGGCTGAGGAATTGAAACGGTTTTTTTTTCTTTCCTGTTGCACCTACTAAAGGTTCAATGGTGCAGTTATTGGTTGCCACAGTCACCACAGAATTATCGTTGCACCTAACTAATAATATATTTTGATCATTGTCAAAAGAAAAATCATGAGAACCTCGATCTTTTTTCTTCATATTTTTCAGTTTCCATTGTGTTATTACACGTACGGTTTTCACGTATTGTCCCAGTAGCGTAGTAACCACGTTCTTTCAATAAACAGAATAACTTGTACGAAGAGAAGAAATTGTCAAAAAATACGCGATGATAAGATGGCTGTTGAACAACTGACAATAATTCTAATACAACATTTTCTCCCAGTCCCCATTCGTTTTCATAACCGCTTGTTTTTCCACCATAAGGTATGAATTTGTACAAATAACCATTCGAGCTACATAGACACCATAGTTTGAAGGCGAACCGAATTGGTTTGCCCTTGATGTACATCTTACAACTATGTCGTCCAAAATTTGGTACCATTTCCTCATCGATAAATAGATTATGCGAGAAATTACCAAACTGCATGTTCTTTTTATTTATCAAATCAAAAAGAGGTCTTTGTTTTGAAAATCTGTTGCTTTTATCAAGTTGGTCGTTATCTGATAAATGTATGTTCTGCTTTATGGAATCGAATCGGTTTCTACTCATACAATTTCTAACTAACATTACTCCTTTATCCTCATCTTTGGACCAATATAGTTTTGTAGCCGGTAACGTATGATACCCCGAAAAAATCAGTATGCCGAAAAATCTCTTTAGGCTAATTTTGTCAATCTCAAATGAATGAGGATTATTATCTTGAGCATATTTTTTATATAAGAAATTATTTTGTCCCAAACATCGTCACTGAAATACAAAGAAAAAAGGAGTTTTACCGGCAATTGTATTTTCAATTTGTTCTAAGTTATTTTTCTCTTTAGTCTGTGGTTCTATTGTATATAATGGGTTCTCCTTTTTCCACTTCGAAAGAGTTTTCTTTGGCCTCTTTGCTTTTTTGGAACTAGATGGAAATGATTGATTATTATCAAAGTCTTCAGATGTATCAGGTTAACTTGCATGAATTTCATATGTCCCTGCAACATCTAGCAAATCCATCTCATTCTCACATACGTCGTCATCAATCACTTCTTCATCTGTAAGTTCATCTACAGGCGGCGGAATATATACGGCATCAACGGTATCAGACTGCAATAAATTTTCGTTCTCCTCCAGTAAAGCTAAGAGCTCAGCAGATGACATAGGTTTTTGGTTTTTTCAAGACTTCACTATAACTAAAGAAATAATTATTTTAGAAAAAAAAAAAAGTTTAGAAAATATTTTAAATAATACGCACTTTTATTTATTGAGTTATTGAGTTCTTACTTCAATCGAATATTTTCAAAAACTACGCGTTACTAATCAAAGCTACTTTTCACTCAAACATATAACTGTTCACTATGAATAATTATACAACACTGACCATATTTTGCATTGTGCTACTGGGCTCTCGAAAGATGACGGCGCAACACACTGTCGCCTTCTTACTGGGAATCCCAACGATGCGTAAACGCAACAATAATAAAACAGCTCATGTATGCAAAAACTATGAACGCTGTGCCCAGGTCATGTTATATTCCTCTTACTAAAGCTCAGGTAAATCTAAATTTATAATTTAGAAAATTCCAGTGTATTCTAAGCTGGACAATTACATCGACGAATATAAATAGGGCAAATGCCCAAATTTTGGCATATTTCGTATACTTAGAAAAATTAAACTTCTTGAAAATTTGGAGGTATTTTATAAAAACATTAATCCTTATTCTGTTGGGATTAATGTTGTCACAAGAAAAAGGTCATTTCATTTTTAAGACATTTTAAAAAATATATATTTGATAATGTTTCGTTTACGCAACGTTGGGGACTAATGGGTTTTTTCTTATTTACCGCCCGAACAGATAAAAAGTTTCTATTTATAATCCGTTATTTTTAACTTCGGGCTTTGCAACTAGTTTTCAAAGTATTTAAGTCCTGCACCGTTAAAAGCAAAAGCCAAAGAAATAATTTTCTGTTTTGCACATACTTCAAAAGCTGAAAAACTCAAAACTACACAACTGTAATTAATAGAAAAATTAGATTACTTTACCTTAGCGATATTTTATTTAACTGATTTTAATTGCATTATTTGAAAAAAAAAAGAAAATATTTTACTTACATCAACATTTTCAAACTCTACAGGACCAGGAGGACCGGGCGGACCTGGCGGTCCGGGCATTCCAGGAGTTCCATCTCTTCCTGGCTCTCCTGTAGGCCCCGGATGGCCGTCGGGTCCTCCTGGACCCCTTTCGCCTCTTTCTCCTTTTTCTCCTGGTGGTCCTCTTGGACCCACTTCACCCGTGGGTCCTGGTAGACCAGTAAGGCCCGGAGGACCCGTTCTGGCTTCTAACGGAGTAAAGGGGATATTTGCTTGACTGGATATGGTACTAATTATTGAAGTAAGGTTACAGCTACACACAGCCTGTAAGAAAAATAAAGAAATAATATTTTAAATATAGGAAACATTAAAACATACTGTTTACTCTGTTTGCAGATAGATGCACAAGTAGAGATAGTTGCAATAATTAGGAAAGGAACAAAGTAATTCAATCAATAAAGGTATTGCTTTGAGAGAAATATATCCGAAAAGTTACCGAAAAGTACAAATTTAGGAGTTTCTAAATACGGTTGAAGAAGCGATAAAGGGGTTTAATCTGAAAATAAAATATTGGTCGAAAACGCTTTGTAATTGATGTACAGATCGTCAAAAAAGTTTTTATACAGAATCAGTAAAAGTAAACATTTTTAATAGAAAATATTAAATATTATTCCAAACTCAAATGTGACCAGAACGTGAAATACAGAAAACAAAAAAATATCAAAGTAATTTGTCACAATGTGATACGAGCGATCGTTTCCTTTTAGAAAACAACTTCTTCTTTGGCTAATAAATTATTTTTAGGAAACTAAAATAAGGCTTTATAAATCTTTAATAACTAAAAAGTATACCAACTTCCAACGTTAGTCTGCCAGACGACTAACTTTATTTCCGAAGTTGTATTCAGGTTGGCATTTGTTCCTAAATAATTTAAACATAAGCTTTTCAAACTGTCTTAATATAGGCTTGTGTCTGTGAAGTTTCTTCACGGCGTACTTTTTTTGCCTGTATTAAACGACAGTATACTTAAACATCGGGCGCATATGATCTGACAAATTGTCAGCGCTTTATTTTATTAAATATTTAGGATAAGAATTAATTTTCGTCGTTGCATATCCATATATCCTCTACTTATAACGTGTAAAATAGGTAGTTACATTTGTGGTTCTGGATAGTAGCTCTAGTTTTTTACAGTTTTTTACAGCATTAAATCTCACAGATTCATATCGCCGTGTATGTAACTCTTTGCTACGTTCTTAAAACAACTATTGTGGCTTTCTCTCGCTAAAGCAAGAGAACTGTTCTCTCGATGGCTATAACGGCCATTCCAATCCTATCTTCCCAAGAAAATATAAGATTTGGAGTGGCTCCAAGTTGGGCAGATCTACTTTTTCTACCCGGTATGCTTCCAACTCCAAGTATAGTGACCTTGGATTCTGAAGTGTTACATATTTTTTGAGTATTAATGGAGGTTTTATACTTTTCTTTCGATATTCTGCACTCCGTTTAGTACTTTGTTCAATTACTTTTATGCTGATTTTTAACGCATTTTATATTTTTACTAGAGGACCCGACAGACGTTGTCCTGTCTTAACTATGAATATTGATTACGAATTGGTATAATTAACAACAAAAATATTTCAGAAACAAAGTGTTTATTATTCTAATATAGGCGTGATATCTATGAACTAACAGTGAACTAAGAAATTTAGTTTTTGTTAGTAATAATAAATTAATAATTTTATATGTATTTTTTCAATATAATAACTCCGATCGAAGCATCTGTTTCAAAGGATATTCATCTTTGACGATATTTGCAGCACGCATTCTGTCAATGTTATGTCAAACGCCATAAGGTTACTTCAAAAAAGTTTAAATTGTAAAGACGCTATGGTTACATTAGAAATAATTTAATATGGTGGTTAAGTATTCTTAAATTTTCTAATTTTTCGCGCAATTTTCTTAATTTTTTCTATCATAAGAACCTTCTACTGACAATAACAAATACAACAAAAAAAATTAGCGAAACCGGTCCAGCCGTTCACGCGTGATGCCGTGACCAACGGAAATAGGGATTCATTTTTGTATATATTGTGATGTTTGTTTATTTTAAACAACAGTTTTATTAATTAATAATATATTTAAACACTTATTTATTTATAACAATATTATTCTAATTTATATATATATATATATATATATATATATATATATATATATATATATATATATATATATATATATATATATATATTCCGAATGTCTCTAAACTGTTCACGATTTATCTTCACTCTCCATATAATAACTGATACCGCGTTATTATCCACCAATATTTATATACCAGTTTAAAATTGTGGTGGGAAGTTACAGAACGTTCTCGTCAAAAATTAGAAACACTATCACGTTATATTTGGAATAGACTAGAAATAGTATCCCGTTGATTCTGGAATGTTCGCGAAAGTACCTCCGCCATAGTCGTCACATAGGTTTGGTCTTAAGGGGTTTAATTATGTATAATAATCGGACAAGTTGAGCATCAAAGGCCAAATAAGACAGAGAGGATCTTGGAGGGTTAAAGCATGACTGAATAATGAAATGGCTCACATAACAATATTCTTAAATTTTCTAATTTTTCGCACAATTTTCTTAATTTTTTCTTTCATAAGAACCTTCTCCTGGCAATAGCAAACAAAACAAAAAAAGAATTAGCGAAATCGGTCTAGCCGTTCACGCGTGATGCCGTAACCAAGGGAAATAGGGATTTATTTATATATATATATATATATATATATATACACATTTGTGGCTTCGGCCAACAATCCCTGTGATTACAGGGAAGTTATTAGCGTCGCCACGGCGGCAGTTTTAGCCATCATGGTGATGCATGGTGATGTGCCGAAGCCACAAATGTGTGGTTGGCCACTTGAGTGATCTCCTGTTTGTTTTTTCTTCCATCGCTAGTTCCATTCTATCTTGAACTTGGCTGCACCGTACTGATGAAGACCAATAGTCAGAAACACGTGTCTACGGTTTGCCCTTCAGGCTTTTTTTCTCTCTTTTTTGCGGTATTTCCCAATAACCCTTTTTTCTTTTAATTCTTCACCGCACTAAACCGTTTCATATATATATATATATATATATATATATTGATATGGATTTATTCCCCGACTAGCCAGAGCACCTGGAAAATTTTCTCCAGAAGGTGTGTTTCTTTTATCTAAAAAAAAATTGTCCAATCAATTAATAAATTTTATACACAATTAATTTTTCCGAACAACTATTGACGAACTGCAACTCTTCACAACCCCCTTCTTTCTGAAATAGTAATATTCGTCAGCTTCTCTGCTTTCTCCCCTTTACCTCTGGTTTGTGTCACGCTACTGTCTGTTAATTTCAATAACTTATAGTGTCAAAATATTGTCTTAATGTCACTTAGACTTTCCAAAATACCTCTATTTAATCAATGAATAAATTACTTATCTTTTCTTTTCTTCCTCTTTGGATATCACCAACCGCTGTGCTCGTATCTTGGAACTACCTCTGTATCCCAACGAAATGATACTCCATTTATAAATATGTGTGTTTATTTCCAGATCAGATTCTGGACTTTGTGATTTTTTTTCTTTTTAAATTCGGTGATTTTCTCTTTATATAAAGAGAAAAACAATTTTCAAAAAAAAATAATCAATCCAAAAGGATCAACTCTCAATACCTCACCCTCTGACAATCAATCAAAAAAAAATCACAATTCCATAACAACATAAAAAATAAACAACATTTTTTTTTTATTTTCTAATCAATACATCATAACTACACCTTGACATACACTGGGCGATATCTTTCCTGATCCCCATGACCAATCAGGAAACCACATCAATATATATATATATATAATTAAACCAGTAATTTGTGGGTAATGCAGCAAATGAAAGAGTACTTTTTTAAGTTTATTCCAAGCTTTTGGAAATGTTTATATATATATATATATTTTTTGTTTTGGTTTGTTTATTTTATATTTATTTTTATTTAGTTTGTTTTTTTATTTTATCGAAAAGAAAACCAAAACTTCCCTTTATAAAACTATGCTCAGTCGTTTTTATATAGATTTAACAAAATAGTTTAAATTTAATATTTATGGTAAGTTTCCCACTTACCTTTAGGGCTCTTATCTCAGGTTGAGTTCTATTGGCGCTCTAAACACTTCAAATACTCTGATATTAATGATAATTATCATTCAAGATTCAAATAACAGATTTTTTTTTATTTCATAAAATGAAAATAAAGCACAATTTGACATAAATAACAATGAACATTCATGTAAGTAAAATTCCTTAAACTGTATATTCGTGAAATTATTAAAAATTTTTATCAAAATTTATAATTTGTATTCCTTTTTTTATCCAGATTATTTTAAATTTTAATTTCTCTGCGTGACCTACTATACACGCAAAACGCGAGATCGTGCTACCATCTACGAATAAACCTCCTAAGTACCAGGTAGATTACTATTCATAACCTCTGTTGAGTAGAAATTTAAGTAAGAACATTTATTTGCGTTGCAAATATCGAAAATTGGAATGACTTTATATTGCTCTGGATAAAAATCACGAAAATACTTTCTATTTTCTATCTTATTTCACAACATAACCTGTATTTCTATTGAAATAATATCAGAATGTGTATTTGGAATAAAGAAAAGTTTTTTTAAACTATCTACACTGTTTTCGCTTATCTTCATAAGCTATAGGTAACTACATGAAACTTTTAAAGAATGAAATATCCTTTCTTTAGTGTTTATATTTTCTTTTAACTTATAATGTGCACTGGGTTTATTTGTTTGCAGCACACATGACTCAATAATGTGAAATATGGGAACTGATCTGCTTGCACTTACGTTATATCGGATTCTTTCTTTGGATAAGACACTCCAAATCCTTTGAAGACACTTTGTGGCCGGTAAGTTATATTTTTCTTTATAAATTCATTCATACAATGCAATATTATTTATAAATTGTATGTCATTGACTTACTTAATATTTTTTTATACTGTTTAAATTATCCAAATCATATTGATCAATAAATATTTTATTGATTTTTTTAAACTAATTTTCTTTCAGGTGACACCTTTTTTTCGTCTCCATCTTAGATTTTTCTAGAAGTCCGTATTTATCGCGTAACTAGGGGTTGCTATGGACCAAACCTCCCTTTACGCTTACTGAGGTTTTAGAAACCAATAGAAATTACTTCAAATTATGACATCATCAAAACTCTACTTAAAAAGGTTTGTATTTTAATAGTAAACTATAATTAATTCACAAAATGAC